CGTAATTTCAGCCTTTTCTTCATTATTTATACAAAATTTTTTGTTGCTCTGTCGACGAAATTATTTTTAATTGACCGACGTGTTAGGGCTTAGGGCTGTTTGTTTCTGTTTTGGTTTTAGCTCTGTTCTCATTGACAGTCGCCGTGGCTCTTTGTGTTTTGATTACGCAAATTAAAAGCGTCTAGACAGGGCAACGCATTGGTGGAATGACCGTGCTAGGTTGATGATAGATGAGGGGAGTGCGGTGTCGGGAAGTGACCGACTGAACTCGCCTTCTGTAATGCATCGTTATGTTCCCCACTCATTTACCCGTTGAAACCTACCAACCGGCAGGTACATATGTACATACATACATTTGTACACATAACCGTACAAGTATTATTTCTTGCGATTCTTCTTTTTATGTAATATGTACATACATACATACATAAGTACATAAAAGTTGATGACACTTCGAGCTAATTTTCAGTTACGTTTATGTGGAATTTGCAACGTTGATTAAAACAGCCGGCCCAAGTGAACAAGCTAAGAAAACAAAACAAATCCAAAGTCGAGTAAATTAAAAATAATGAGTAAACTTTTTAAATTAACAGATAATGATTACACTACGTATTAAGGAAGATTGAAAGCTGCAGAGGACACTGTCTCAAATTATAAATCATATTTATATATTTTTTTATTGTAATTTTTGTTGATTGGGTATACTTTCGCTGAACGGGTAACGCCAAAATAGATGATGTAGCATCCAGCTTTCTGAAGGGTTAACAAGGGTGTGGGCAGGAGCGGGGAGAGAGAGAGCCTATCGAATATCGAACATACATATCGAACATACGTATCGAACATGCGGTCGTGTTAAGCCATCTGTGCATATTTCTTTCGTCGCTAAAGAAAATTGTAGTTTTTCGCGGTAATTAGGTCACGGAAAAAACGGAAAAGTATTGAAAAGTGATTATAAAAGTAGGGGAAACTCGTTGCACACGGATATACATCGATATATGTCAGTTTAATTTATATTTGTAAGCATTTCGATGTCGTATTTCGTCAGTTCATTGCCTCTCGCCAATTCCACTTTCGTATCCTAGTATGTGAGTGTGTGTGAAAATAAGTGGAACAAGCAATCTTCAAAAGAGTAATGTTATTTACATATGTATGTATGTACATATACAGTTTTAATATATTTTTTGTCGATTCAGCAGAATTAGGATTAGTTTCGCAAAGCGTATACCTCTAACACGGACGATCTAGAGTTATTTCGCATTTTGTCAGTACATTGCTTACGTGGCCTCTAACATGGATGAATTAGCATTCAGCTTCCTAAGAAAAACAATTGCGTTTCGATAAGCGTCGGGCATGTTCAGCCACCTGTGCATCTTTATTTCGCCGCTAAAGAAATTTGTTGTTTTTCGTGGTAATTAGGTCACAGAAAAAACGGAAAAGTCGTGAAAAGTGATAACAAAAGAAGGGGAATCTCGTTGCATACGGATATTCATCAAAATATGTATGTAAGTTTTATTTATAAATGTAAGCATTCGTCAATTCATTGCTTCACGCCAATTCCACTTCTCTATCCTAGTGTGTGTGTGTGTGTGTGTGTGCAAATCATATGGAATATAATAGAGTGGAATAAGTGATCGTCTAGACGGCTTCAAAAGAGTAATGTTATTTACATATGTATGTACATATGTACATATACAGTTTTAAAATATTTTTTGTCGGTTCAGTAGAATTAGGATTAGTTTCTGTGTATAGCCATCTGTGTCTTTCTTTCGCCGCTATAGAAAATGGTTGTTTTTCGTGGTAATTAGGTCATGGAAATAACGGATAAGTCGTAAAACGTTAATATAAAAGTGGGGGAAACTCTTTTTATTTATATTTGTAATATAAAAGTAGGGCAAACTCGTTGCATACGAATATTTATCGAAATATGTAAGTTTTATTTTTATTTATTAATATTTCGTCAGTCTATTGCCTCTCACCAATTCCACTTTCCTATCCTAGTGTGTGTGTAAATCAGAGAGTGGAGTAAGCGGTCATACAGTTGTGATCAAAATTAATTTTTTTAAATTAAAATAAAATGTAATTGTATATGATTACATTTTTTTACCTAGTATTCATATGATTTTCTATATACACCTTTATTTGATTTAAGAAAAACAAGTTTCTTTTGAAAACCATTATATGTACATACATACATATGTATGTATTTGTTTATATATTTTAATTCAATAAATTCAAATACATATGTACGTGGTAAAGTGATATATAAAGTTCAGTTTTTATGTATTACCAGATAGTTCTAATGTCTTTGATCATGCTTCAGCAGTCTAAGAAATATTTTGTGGCAGTCGAGTTCAATCTCTTTTTCAAATAACGAAGTGGTAGGGACATGCGACATCAAACTGACCACAAACAGCTGCTACGTATCCTCGGCTTATGAAGTTCGATGACCCGCCTTCTCAGCCGAACTTTATTACAGGATAATTAAATATGTGCGATGATAATTTCATTTTACGCCTTATAAACACAAACTGCACCCCCTCCCCTTAAGGTCCTGCTTTTGGCTGAGCGAATTATTTCGCCCACCAGAAACCTAATTATCCGTTTAGGCGAGCGTGGAATACATGTACAACAGACCTTTATCCGGAGTTCATTGAGAACCAATAACCGACGAAAAAATCAAGTAATACTTGGTTGTCGATAAAGCTTTTGATTTTTTTTTTTAATTTCATTGCCCCTGATAAATAAACAAAAAATGGTATAATAAGTATCTTTCTAGCTTCGAAATTAAATAAATTATTAATGCTTCAAAATGGGCTAACCTGCGTCGCTATTAGACAGAATTTGCGTTTTTTCCGAGATCGATGTATTTCTTTACATTGAAGATTGTGTTGACGAGTCGACTTGAATGCCAATGCGGCGTATGTATGTATATAGTACCTACGACAACTGTCAGTTTGTATAATCTACTTATGTGTATGCATATATGTATGTATGTGTGTGTATGTATGTATGTATACATATGTATGTGGGATTGTTTTCTTAGAGTTTCTGCAGTTGCTGCCTTCGTTTTTGTTCCCTGTGTTTATGTCTGGATTTCGTGTGGTTATTACTGTCGTCTGGAGCGCCTTATCGGCGGCGCCTCCAGAAAATATGTCACACGTATGCGTCAAAAATTTCCCAGAAAAGAAACCGCGAAATCAGCATGATGCGACTGATATGATACTATAATACGGGGTGGCACCATAGGTGGTTATGCGATATTGGTCGTCCTAATAAGCAATTTAAATTTCAATAATATGAAAATATAAGCAATCAACAAAAAATAATCAACAAACTCCATTTTCATAATCGAAAATAATATTTAAAAACTATTTAATGCCGTTAATTTTCAAATTGGGAATTCTTGAATATATTTTATATATTAATAAAAAAATACAACAAAATTGTTTTCTCCACATCCAAAACGAGTAAACAAAAACATAAATATGATTGTTCCGAAGCTTCATATAAACTTCCTCAATACAGCTACAGGATGAAAGCGGTTATCCCCATGAAAATACATAGATGTACATATGTATGTACATATCTATAATAAAACAAAACGCACATGTACAAACCACAACAATGTGTATAAAAATAGCATGCGCCAACGCTTTTATTGCATTTGATTAACATTTTATTTTGATTTAATTTTTATGATACCACAACCAGCATTCCCCGCTTCATGGTTCTGTGTCGACTACGTGATAATCGGGAATATTGCCCATTAGCCGCAGTCACCCACAGACGAGCATATAACAATGACAAACGATGTTCATATATGTTTGATTATATGGGATCTATTTGTGAAATTTGTAATATTTTGTAGGTGCTATATTTTTTTAAAATGGTAATAGTACACGGTACTTATACATGTAAAGTAAAATGGTATACTTAATTCGTCCGTACTTTTGAAAAATGTCTCGATATTTTTCATTTTATTATTTTTTTGCAAGCCGGAAAAAAACTGTCATTCTCACAATTTTTAAAAATGATTTAATTGTTTTTTTTTTTGTTTACAATCCAATTTTTACAGATATGCCCAAAAAATTAGTAACGGGTATCTGATAGTCGAGGATCTCAATTATAGCGTTCACTTTTGTTTCGTTCAATGCAGTTGCTTTTCAAAAATTGGAAAACGGCTTCTTTATTTATTATTTATTATGATAGCTCTCCGGCATTGCAAATAAACAAATTAAATGAAAAAATCATTGAATTCGTAATTGCAAATGACTGTGTGTGTGTGTTTATCATTGTCGTATATTGTTGTGCTGGAATATTACAGTTTATTGGAGGGTGTGCACACGGCGTGTCTGTGAATGAATTAATAATAGATTAATTATCTTAGTTTCAAGCTCTACGTCATCAGACTAAAAAATAAATTCAGAACTTAAATCAGTTGTATCCTATTTCATTAAAAAATTTGTTTAAGTTCCGTTCAAATCATTTTATTTAAATTCTATAAATAAATTATATTATAAAGTTAAATTCCTTTGAATTAAATAAATAAAATTGATTTGCCTTTATTTGAATGTGTGGGTAGTATTTTGTTGTTCCCCAATCTTTTGGTTTTGTTTAATATTGACCTTGTATTGCGCGCTATTACTCAATATTTTTCCCGCAATAACAACTATTGGTCACGATGTCATCATATCACTATTTGGTTGACGACTGAACTGGTTGTTTAATTATTTAGTTATTTATAAATAGACTCGCATCAGAAGCATGCACTGCGCACGGGAGCAATTAAGCGATTGTCAACAATACAATTGATTAATAATATATAATTGAAAGCTAACAACCAAGTCGCGTTACGATAGATGCTATCGGGACAAGGCTGCTAAAGATTTGTGTTTGGATAATACTAAGTAGGAGTTTCCACGAGATTTTGTGAGCGTTATGATAGTATAAAATGAAAAAGAGCTTGCTGAAGCCCACATATAGTTTACTAAAACCTGCATTCGAAAGGAACTCTACTAAAAATGAAACTCGCAATGTTGTCCTGGATATTTTGGGCGATGTTTTGGGTGAGATTTGAAATCTGCTACTACATTTTCCGAGAGGAGTAGAGCTAACCATGGAAAAACGTGAGGTCAGAACTTTTTGGTTTAAGCCGATCCTCTTGGGAATTATTAAAAATACCAAGTGATTTATTGTCTGTTAACCACGCCCCTTTCTATTAGTGCATCGCAGAGGCTCAAGTGCCAGGTCAACCCGAGGCTATAGCTGCCGCCCAAGAGGGCCTGGCCGCAGCGGCAGGGGCGGGCGGACAACTTGGAGCCCACGGCGGCGGAGCGTCCAAAGCCGTTGAGGGTGGGCCTGGAGCTGAAATGGACGCCGGCATTGGGGCGGGCGCCGAGGTGAGTGCCAGTGCACGTGCCGGAGGAGCTGTCGGTAGACGCTAGAGACGCCCTTCCGTTTGACATTTCACAAGCTTGCTTTGCTACTTGTTCTGGCCGCTAACACTTGTGCATTGGGGGAAATAATTCCGGGAAAAAGAGGGCCGTCACTGCAGAGCTTGTAATTAATTACCACTGGTTGTGAAATAATGTCAAATTTAGTTTATCACACACTCCGCACACTTGTCGGCGCCAGATTTTTTTTGGGGAGGCCAGTGTCATAATTGATTTGAAAATGCGGTGCGTCGCCACTTAATGGTCACACCCATTCCAAAAATCGGCTCACTTCAAATAAATGCGAAACAAATCAAATACGAATCGCTTTGGCAGTTTAAAATCCATTTAATGCCCTTTTATGAAATACACCGATTGTATCGCAGGTGTGCGCCTGGAGGCAAAAACGGAAATAGAAAACTCATGAGCGAATTTAAAAATATCAAAAAGAATTTCCACATAAATCAAGTGATCAATAAATAAATAAAATATGTCAGGCACCGACTCCAGCAACAACAGCAATTTTTAAATGGTGAAATAGAGGAATTGGTTTGGTTGCTTTTGTTTGCACATGCTGTGTAGGTAAAGGGTTTTACTGATGTAGCACGAGAAAATCCGTGAAAATATGCGGATGAGCAAGTTATTGTAGTTATAAATTTTCCTTTTCCTGTAATTATACCAAAAGTATTATTTAAAATAAACATTTTATTGAGTTACTAATTCGGTCAATGACGAGCTTCTTATGTAGTACAAAAAATCATTGTTACGAGTTGCAAGCTGGGTAAAGTCTCTAGCATTGACATGTATGTCATTGTTCTTCTAGAAGTGCATAGACCCTCCTAAAGGTAACAGAAATTACCCAACACTTATGTAAATTGTGTTCTATTTTAATATGGGAACAGAACTTTGCGCTGCATTACTGTCCTTGACATGGGACACGGTGTGTAAGCTCACCTGTCTGGCCAAACCCCCTTGAAGATAAGAATTCCTTCACCTCCCCACCCTCTTGCCAGCACTGGGGCCTTCCTTCGGCGGTGAACTTCAGAGTCGTCACGTGTGAGGGGTGTTGATATAATTGCCAATAACGATTGCTGCACAGTGAGGCAGTGTTAGGGAAAACAGGAGAGCACTGGCCCGACCTGATTTATGTTTATTTCCATTCGCGATTGCGATAGCCGTGCTGCGTTTGGTGTCGGGAATCGTGTATATCCAGTGGCAAGTCATCGAAATTGATCAACTGCTAAGATTTCCTGGCGGATTCAGTTTCTCAAGTATTAGTTCTGCGAGGCAAGACCCAAATTCCCACAACTTGCACTACTCTTGATTTATGCTCGTTTCCTGCCTTCGCAAATTGATTTTGCCAATATATTGCATACGAGATACATGAAGAAGACAGCTCGGTATTACAGACCATAATGCTTTCTATGGGCTATCGCCAATCGGCTCTTGGACCCTATCCAGTCCCGTCCCAGACAGTCATAAGATATTCACCAAATCAGTCGTAAAACATTAACAAATCGCACTCACATGAGTTTATTGGGCATTCACATGTATCTGAGTAGGACTTATCGCGACTGATACATATGTGTACATATGCATGATGTACCTGACAGATATAAACACAAATTTCTATGGCCTTTATAAATATGAGCAGCCATTAGCTTTGGTCTAATCTTTCCTAAAAGTGCGCATTAGCAAAACCGAATTGCGTTCTTTACCAAACTGAAACTAAGTACGAAAAAGTAGTAGTAGTACGTGCTACTATCAACTGTCAATATGAATACATTTTCCTCATATTTACAGTCATACGGACTTCTGTGCCTTAGTAAGTCGTTGGATTTTTCCAAATATATTTGAGTGTGTATTTCCAATATAGGTTGAGCGTAATTAGTTTTGGACTAATTAACACTCTAATGACTTTGGAATATAGAAGGCAAGGGTTAGTGTTGAAATGAGAACAATTTTAATTCCGAACGGGAAGAAAATGTAATTTAATTTTTTTTAAGTATAGTTTTATTTATACCTATAAATACACAATTTTGCAGAATTCCCGATCGATTGTATATAGCAGCTTGCTTAGTTTTGGTCACGAAAGAAGCATGTTTACTTAAATTTACGTCATTATAATCATGCGTTCGCTCTGCTGCTAGCCTTACAAGTAGTATTTAATATTGTTTGCCGATATTGCGTACAATGTGTAGATGAGACCTTTTTCGTTTCGCACTCGCACAACACAATTAATGAAGTGTAAATAAACGTAAATGTGACTATTTGCCTTTCGCAATTTGTATCTGTCAGATACTATTGCTATGGCGCATGATTTATGAACTGCGGAATGCAGCGATGACAATAGCATAAGTGACGTTTAAAGTTACTCGCTTAGTTTATGGTGCTCGATTGAGTAGAACAATTTTTTAACTGTAATTTCGGCTGCATAATTAATAATATGAAAGAAAAGTGAATGTTACAAATGGGAAGCTGAACGAAAATATAAAGTCAATGGTCCCAGACACTCTTGTCTAAAGATCTAATTCAAAACAATTTGTCTCGAGGGAAGACTCGAAAAGTGATTCGCTCGAGCGGTGCCAATTAACAGGGTGAGTGCGCGGTCCAATATGATCCGATCCCCATTTAGAAACTTCAATTTGCGGTCGTGCAATTGAAAAACAGCGGGTACGGGGCTTTTTGGTTTAATAATAGCCATCTCAATATTTATTTTTAGTCTATCTGGCCCCTTTGGCCCCATACCCGATACTTTATTTACTCGCGCTTCCGTCGCCGCTTCTCACTTTGATGTTTATTTTTAAACCCCGCCAAATGCTTGAAATCATTTTTAAGCTAAGTGGTTTTTTTTTGTATTTATAACATAAACAGCAGCTCGACAGCAGCGGCAATTCCACCCAAGAAACGGTTAAAGACTGATAGGAGATGTCTGAATGGCAATCTATGTAGCAGACTTCTTTTGTAGAATTCTCAACTCTTGAACTAGTTTTTGCCAATTGAGTTTATTTTGTGCTGGATTATTTGCCATTTGTTTATGATTCAACGACGCACTTAAGTGTATTAGTTTACCTAGTCTGTTTATAAGCATTAAAACAATAATTGTTTATTTGACAGGTATAATCAATTATTGCTTATTATTATTAACTTTTCAAATTTATTTCTTGTTAATGTCTTGATGGCTTCTTGATTTTATTAAATATTTTTGTGTTTTTAAACTTATTAGTGTCACCAGTTTCAATTAAAATTGTATTAAATTTATTTTTGTTCATAAATATATCGTTTTTTGGTTATCTGAAATAAATGTTTGGCCAATCGTTGTATATCTGATATAAATGTTTTCGCAGTCCTAATCAAGGCAAACTGAAGTCATCATCAGTGCCCCAATCATGTTTTGTGTCTAATTGCAAAAAGCCAAAACCAATACAATTATTGTTAAATATTTTCTTTTATATAATTGTGAACAAAAATAGGATGCTATAAATAAGTGCCTACTGCTTTTGTATTGACAGCAAAAAGAGCTTAAAAAACCGATTGCTAACGCTGATAGCATAGCACCTGTTCAGTTTATGCTTTTGTAGACTAACTTGCGATTCTCCTTCCTTGCTCTTTCTCTTTGACACGCGCGAATAAAATTGTTTATAATTCGCTTTGGCGCCTCGCCACTTATCAACGCCCTTATCTATCGCTGGCATTAAAACTTTCCGAAGTCGCTGACGATCGTTTACGATTAACGAACAAAAACGTGAAACTAGAACTGATTCGAGGTGAAAGAACTTTTCGCGGCTGTATGAGACTGCCGATCATGCGCTCTGTTAGGGGGAAGCTCCGTTTAGAAACCCACTAAAAATAATTACCTGCCCAAATAAAAAAAGCTTGTCTCCACTAGATAAGTTCGATTCGTTTTCCATTTTGTTCCCTGATTTCTTAAAATATACTACATATTTTTTAAAATTATATAATAATAATATATTTATCTCATAGCTCTGTCTCAAAGCTTTTAGCTAGAACACCCGTGGACGTTGCACGAGAAAATATTCCGATTTTTATCACTTCTGAGAAGAAGGCGAAAAATTAGATCCAAGTCTGGCCGTAGTATTTTTGTTCAACTCATTGGGCTTTCTCAATTTCAGTGAGTGGCACCGCCAGTTCCACCGATTCCGCCGATTTGTCGCGGTGCGGAGGAGGTGGTCTGTGTTTTGTCATCCGGTGACTGGCACATGGCACATGGAGCGATCACTTGATCACACGTGAACGCCTTTTGAAGGCTTTCGACGCAATCGCGAAATAGAGAAAATCCACTTCAGAGAACTTAATCGAATCGGGCTGCCAGGCGCTTGTTATATTTGCATAAATCTTTTCTGCCCGCTCGCTGGCTTTTTGCTCATGAGTTTTCAATGATTGTGGAGAATTGCGCTCTGTTTTCAGCGTGTGTGCGGTGTATTATTGCATTTCGGTTTGCGCTTAGTCAAACATTTGAATGCAACAGCAGATCTCAGCTATTTTAGCTATTGCAGTCGAAAATTTATTTGTATTTCTGGGTTGTCAATTGTTCCCCTTTTTGCTGCTGCTGAAACTTTTTAAATATTTTTACCTATTTAAACGATGATCTTGTTTTTTTTTTTTAAGTATTTTGCTTTTCTCTTCATCATTGTAGTAAAATGCCAGCTTAATATGTTTTTAAAGATAATACTTTAGTAATGGTACTAGAACCTAATCTATTTTTATTTATATTTTCGAAAACTACTTCCTACACGCGTCGACCCAAAAATTATGTACCCAGTTTATAAAAAGTGCGAAAGAGAAAAGTAAAACAAAATCAGCTATATTTATTTTTTTCCATAAGTACGCAATCGTGAGACGAAATCACTAGTATGCCTCGTGGGTGCTTGATTCAAGGCATTCCAACCATCACTCATACGTCATGTTGGACGCACGGCCAGACTTCCTTTCAAAGTGTTCCCTAGAAACCATCAGTGTGTTCCCATATCGAATTTCGTATGACGCTTGCTGATCAATAGAAAGCGTCAAACGCCGATGCCCAAGCTGAATAACCGGTTGTATATGCACCACCCACCCAACAAGCAATACTTTCATCGCGTGGGCTACAAAGTGTGGCCATCTGTTTTGATGTCCGATGTGAACATAAGCGGATGGGCCGACATAAACACTCGTGGACAAACATAGATGCACACAGCACAAAATGCACGCCCACGCCACATTTTGATTACATATGTTGGTCTTCAATTAAATATCCAACTTGAATTGCACTATCAAATAAATCCCATTTTATACCGCGTTTCTAAGAAAGTCAGTGGCCAAATTTAAAAATAAGTTTGCCTGACTTCTTTATCGTATATTTATTAACATTTTTCTACTAGTGCTGATTTCCTTCCACGTGCCTTTGTTTGACCGCACGCGCAAAACTTTGCTGCCATATGCAAGACATCAAGCGAATTAATGGGCCGGCCATGGGCAATCCGAGATGATCCGTTGGATACTGGATGAAGGCATCTTTGGCGCTGATGGCGATGATTTTTGCCAGCGGTGGGCGTTTAAAATAGCATTTCGTTCCATTTTTAGACTGCATACAGAACGCTGTTCCCTTTCGGCTACTCTGATTTCCCTAGACTACTGTGCGCTGGCTCAGTCTGGCGATCTGGTGTTTACGCGAATTCCATTCCAATACAATACAATGCAATATCTAGTTCGGAGGCCGTCGCCCCCTTTTGGGCATACAAGGTATCGTATTCTGCTTACCCATCAGCGCTGTTTTTTTTTTCTTTTTCTGTAGCGCGTGTGCAGGTTGTTTGATTTATTTGCTGACTTTGTCTACATTGTCTGGCTGGAGGCGTGTGCAGGGGACGGGCAGTCGGTGATGATTATCACATCCACGATTTTGCCAATTTGGCGCGGCTTTGTACATTTTATTTACAAATCATCATAAATTTCACCGGAGTTGGTCAAAAGTTGAACTAGTTTATATTCGAGTAAATTTGTTTGGTCAGTGATCTGATTTATAGAAGTGTCTAATATCACGTCATATCCAACAATTAGGAATAATTGTAAATTGTTATATTACCTATAGCAAATTTAAATTCATTTTTTTTTATGTTGATAATATTGATTGCTTTTAAGCGTCGGCTAGTTTTAAAAGCAAAATTCATACCATATCAGCTTAGAGTCCAGCTTTTTGAACTACGTCAGCAACTGAATTGTGTAAACAGATGTAAAGTAATTTCTTGTAATGTAAGAATGCTGCCACCGGTCTTAGGCAGTTGTTACATTTTTAATTTTTGCCTTGTGCTAAACTAAAATGTATGACCATCATTTAAATGATTTTGTGGCTGTTGTGACGCGTAAACAAAAGCGTTAATAGTTTACCACTTCTTTTTCTTTTTGTTTCTCATCGTTGGTTTTGTCATTCATTTATTGTTTAACTTTGTTTGTTTTCGTTATTGGTTTGTTTACTGTCCGATCAGACACGTGCCATCGCTCAAAATACTATCGACCCCTTTGCGTATTGACAAACCAAATCAACCGAAAGTGTTTTGAGCGACTGTCATTGCTGTTTAATAGACAAAAGGTTGAATAATTTAATTTTCTGTTTCGTCATCTCTCTAATCTGACGTCAGTGCAATGTTCTTCAAAACTTTTGTGATACTTCTGGGATTTGCCAAAAAGGAACGGTGACACACCAAAAAATGTACCAAAGTAAACTTTTACAGATTACCATCGCGATATGATTGTTTAAATTCGCATATTATGAGGCGCATGAAGTGGGAAAAATTGTGATTTAATCAAGTCACACGAACATTGATCACGAGTTCATATTATGGTTACGTTATTAATTTCATCAGAGTTGCTGGAAGTCTCTTTTGGACTTGGGAAGTTCCCCGAATGTGTTGGTTGACTGTATAATCGTTCGGCTACAGTAGAGCTACAAAATACGACTGATTAGTTGAAAAGTAGAGTCATCACAGTTTATGTAAAGTAATTTTGTATGAACTTATATATATATATATATATATATATATATGTAGATATATATATTTATTGAGATCTTTCCCTGTGTACCCAATCTTAATTCAGTTTTGGCCTAATCAAACGAAAATTAGATACAAAAGAAATCACGTACAAATAAGAACTTGCTTCCTTTTCATTCGCTTCACTCATAATTCACTGTCATGTTATTACGCCAGAGCCGAAAATTTCTTGGCATTTTTATACCCGCTACTTGTAGAGTAAAAGGGTATACTAGATTCATTGAAGAAAAAGTTACAGGTAGAAGGAAACGTATTCGACCCTTTTCCATTTTTGCGTCCGTATGAAAATCGAGATCTCAGGAATTATAAAAATTAGACGCAGCGCAAGTTTATTTCCTGATGTTGCCACGTCCAGTCTAACGCCCACAAACCGCCCAAAACATGCACGCGTACACTTTAAAAAATGTTTTTATTTTATTTTCATTTTATCATTTGTCTTGTCCAAAAGTGTCACTTTAAATTTTTTAAAAGTGTCACTAAAATTAGTTGATTTCTCTATTTTTTTTATATGTCTTGCCAATAAGTCTTTCTATCGATATGCTAAAAAATTTGTTGAAATTTCTTGTTCGCACTCTCATTAGCTCAGTAACGGGTACCTGATAGTCGAGGTACTCGACAATAGCTATCTTGTTTTTCATTTCTTTTTGAGGGAATTTATTAATCGTAAAAACAAAAGCGCATGCCAAAGAAAAGAAAATTTAAAACGAAAACAAAGTCGACGACCACAACAAAAAATAATAATAAAAGGCAAAGACACGTAAAAGAACAAACGCGGCACAATGACAAATGTGCGATAGCGTTAAATAATTTTTGTGAAGAGGGGTGGTTGGGTGGTGAGTACACACACATAAATAACAGCAAGAAAAAGTCAACCACTCAATCTTTCAGTTGCTCGTTTGGCCTTCTTAGTTTACTAATCAGCGGCACGTGTTCTTTTTGCAACAAAGTGACAATTTCCTCCTCCGTCTGCCAATCCAAACACATTCGTTTCTTCTCCACCTTGTCATTACTTCTTATCGTTGGTTTCTTCAGATACGTTAGTTATCATAAAGGGTACTATTGTAGTTGCTGGACTCTACGCTTCTTTCAAATAACAAATATTTTTAAAAGACATGAGACAAACCAGAGAAAGCGCTGTAGTCGAGTTGCACGACTATCAGATCCCGTTCCTAGGGGGAATGTGAGAAATGCGAGAAATTTAAAATTTTTCTTAACCGATCAAGTGACAAGGGAAAATTTCCTCCTCCGTTTGCCAATACAAACACATTCGTTCCTTTGTAAAACATTCGTTTTACCGCTTTGTGGGCGATAGAAATTTACAAGAATGATTTAAAAATGGAAAAAATTAAAACATTTTTTAAAACTGCCAATTGTGATTGATTCATGAGCGGTAGAGTGGGCGTACCAACGCTCTGAAACAAACTTACACTTTCTTACCCCATTCTATGTATGGGGCTCTTTAGTATCTTTCAGTATAAATGTATATCTGCATTATTTGTGATGGCAAAGATAATCCAGCTAATTGCTTTATTAAATTAGTTTGCATGTGGAAAAAATATAATAAGTAGAGTTTTTTAAAGACAATAGAATTACTCCAATCCAAGTCAGTAATCAAATTATACTCGTTGGAAATAAAGTAAACTCTTATTGATCTACAGTAAAGTCAGTGTTTTTTTTTTTAAATTTTTTATCATTTCCCCTGCGCAGTTTATTGAAATGTGATTTCAAAGTTAACAATGGCATTTTACAATTTCACGAGTGTCAAAAAAGCAGCTGTAAGCGGAGATGCCCTCGAATGACAAAGCACGCAAAAAAAACGATTGAAATTATCGACATGCGTTGGAAATTGAAAATATAATTGTTAGCAATTCTTGTAAAACAAAAAACATGACTATATGTGCGCCCACAGATGTTTTTGGGCCGCATTTCAATCATTGGTTGGACTCAATTGTCTGTCAATTTGGCCGATTATGAGGATGACGATATAGTGATGACTCGGCCCATATTTTTAATGGCTGATGATGTTGAGAAATCAAATCGAGTTTTGACTTTAAAATGCACTTTAAACGATAACGTTCTGTCGCTCCAAATTGAATGCGATTTGTGTTGGCCGGTTAAAAAGGAAGGATAAATTGTCAATTGATTCGACGGCCAAATGGCAATCATACGTGGCAGCAGCAATAAGGACAGAAGCGGGCGGATGTACGTTTGTAAGGGCTTCTAACATGACACTCACGGTCACGACTGAATAAAAACAAACAAATACGCACGCAAATCTCATTCCAATTTACATGGCAATGACACACAAAGGCAAACGAGTGGAACAACCAATGTTTTTAGTAAAACAGTCGAATAGTCATCGAAACTAGAATTGACTCCTGTCTTCGCACTTTGATGCTTGTTCAAGAAAGGCGAAGGTGTATGAAAATTAGTCCTTCTCATTCTCGTGGGAGTAGATGAGGCTTAAGTATTCTTGATCTCAAAATTAATATCATCTCGATCTTCAAGATGGTGTCATTGTCAGCTTGCAAATTATTAATAATAATAGATAATATCTTCTCACTTTGGTTAAGAACCAATCTCGCTTTCGAGAAGAACCGGTCTTTATCCCAATTTCCAATCGAAATTCAAATTATTTATTTAAAACATACATAACATACATAATCGTAAATGTGTACTGCTCACTTACAGGTGGGCAAGAAATGTCATAAGACTTTTAAATTCCGTCTTCGCCCTTTCTATTAAACAATCCTTGGCATTAACATATAATGATTATAAATTCACTTGGCAGCCACCGAATCTGCCACCGAGTATCGTTTAAAATTTTTCCGATCCGATACAATCCGATCTATTCGAGCTTCTACTCACCTGCACCTTGCCTATAAATGGCAATACCATGGCTGCCTCGGCTACGGCAACGTTTGCTACTTTTTCATTCATGAAATCGAAGTTGGAACTATGGCAGCGACTGCGACAAATGCCCAAATTTTTTGCATTCGGTTTGGGGATTCGTAAGCAAGTGATTGAGCGATGGTTGACGACGATTGAACCAGCGGCGGTGGCAGCGGGAGCGGCGGCGATTTCATTTCCCCGTCAAATGATAATTAATATTTATGATGTAATAGATTGGTTGTAAATTATGTAATAGGGACAATATAGCGTTTCCGACTCTATAAAGTATATTTATTCTTGATCAAGTATGAACGTTGAGATCTCGGGAACTATAATTGCTAGAATTAGATATTCAACTCTAGGAGCATAGACGCAGCACAAGTTTCTTTCCAAACGTTGCCTCCCAAAAGTTTTTTATTTTATTATTTTTCTTTCTATCAATTTCTATCGATCCGTCAAAAGATTTCCTCCTCGAACTTCTTTGTAACAGGTATCTGATAGTTCCGAAACTCGACTATAACGTTTTCTCCTGTTTTCGGTTTTGTTTGCTTGCGGTTATATGAAATTTAGCGGCCCACTGTGTCCGATTTGTGAATGGGCCAAGTGAAGCTCTGTCTTACTCTCGAATCTGTTTTCCATCTCCGCCCCTCCATTCATCAAAGTCATCAGCGGCGCTTTTATTATTATTATTATCATCGGACCAGAGAGGCCCATTCAAAAAGTGCAAACATACATGGTTGTAGTAGCTACTCAAGTCCGGAACTGGGTGCTTTGTGGCGGTTTGACTAGACGAGAGAAAAAATGTATAAATATGTATGTAAATAACGAGGACTATATATGTAACACGGTAGGCTTATGTTACAGCTTTAAAATGCAAATGATTAGTCTTACCATTGATTGATCTTTGGACTCTTTAATTGCCGGACAAATCGCGGAGCGGTCAACAGATCATTAAGCCAGCAGCAGCATAATATCGTATCGCATCGCATCGTCAGGGCTGGAGAAGATTAATGATAGTGTAAATGGATTTTCGCTGCTCACTTACTGACACGTGGAGAAATCTATGGAATGTAGGTTGACTTCTACAGGTTCAAGAAAATAAATGGTGAAAAAAGATACACGCTCAGGCCTCGTGTTTAAGTTTACAAAAAAATTATGACAACCAATAGTTATCATCTATATTTTTGCAAATTAATAACAGTATGTTATAAATTTTAGAATTTTCCGATGTAAGATGACTGAATACAGTTGGGGCAACAGTTTGAGATTAAGTTTCTCAAATACCACTTTAGTCACTGAAACTTGTTGCTGCCAGCATCACTTGCCCAAAACCGGTGCAAGGCAGAATACGTCGGAATGGCCGGTGAACTGGGAATCCAGATAAAGAGCTGGTGGCGGTGCGACACCCACAGACATGATGACATACCAGACTTCCCTGTCACGCTCTCCTGACCGGCGGCGACTTGTTTGCATTGGCACCACTGGCACTGCAACTGCAAAAATATTACTCCCAGCTACGCCATATCAATTCGCTCCTTCACTGCCTCTGCATTTTGAGTGTTTTATTTTTCTGGGCTGTATTTTTTCATCACTCGCTGAACTGGTCCGCATGCGACATTTTGTATGCCAATCACATTCCACGGCAGCTGACTCACGCAGCTGCTGCTTTTCGCATCCGAACTGCGTCGGCAGCCATGGTGACACAGTGTCTTCAACTCGAATCCAACAGCCCACCATATACACCAGGATTCAATCCGCAACTTACGTGGACGCTATTTGCGCCTACCGACTCGGTGTGAAACCTAAGTTAAACTGGTCATAAGTACTTGTCCCTGTTCAAGATTTATAAGAAAGCACTATCGCTAAGGAAACTGGACAACTTCACACTTATTATTGAGTAGTATTGCAACATTTAAATGCATCGCGAGTTAATGCATTATTCCCGGTCCATTAAACCACTGTGCCGCAAATGTTTGTCGTTTCTCGGTCTGAGTTTTATTTGTTCCGTCTCACTTTATTTATTTTTGTTGTGTTGCTACTCTCGCCGTTGGTCTGCTCTCAACCGGATGTTGTGGAAATTTTTGCATTTTGTTACTGCTGGTGCTGTTATTAACTGTCATATGTGTCGGGTAAATGCTTGTTTTGTAATAATAAAATGTCATGTGTGCTAGCCGTCCTACCCCGTCCGTCGTGGCTTAAGTGGGTGGAGCAGACACACGACTGACTAAGTTATCGTTTGTAGTTGGTGCTGTTGCAGTTGCAAGCATTTCCTCTGCTGTTCATGGCACGAAATTTAATGACAGTCATACCGCCTGCTTTTTCGCACATGACACATGGCACATGCTGTTTTGTTTTGTTTTTATAGGAATCCGCGGACATGCGTGCAGAAAGTCAATTCGCAGAAAGTCATATATGTACACATACCCTTTATCCTATTTGGCCATAACGTAAACATTATATTTCCAAATTTACTTAGGCCCTTTTTTTGTTTGACTTGCGAACCGCAATAGTTGTGGACCATTTATAAGTTACATTAACGTGCCAATTTCCTCAGCTTAAATAGTTTCAAAGGGGTTGAAGTTGCAAAAAAATGAAAATTTTTTGGTCGCGCGAATAATTTATTATGGGACCAGTCCTCATCCCGATCGTTTCTCCTTCCTGCACCACTGGCAGTTTTTTTCATTCATTTACAAGATACGAGATACTTTGAGATAGGACTGCCAGCGAAATATACACACTATTGACTCCGACAGCGCACTACAGAGGGTGTGTTCATTCATTCGAACCTTTCGGTCCTTTCCGCCCACACTGGCTTATTGAATGAGTCCAAGATAATCAAGTCGTCGCCTGCAGAACTTAAAATGAAATCGCCGCCTAGCGGAATAAGCGACGCTAAGTGAACTTAACTCAATTAAACAAATTTGAAGGTGAATCTCTATTCATTCCATGGCGTAACTCACGAACGGATAAATTGTGTTGAAATGTATTTCTAGAAAAAAAAAATCAAATTCGCTTTGACCTAATGAAAATATATTACATCTCACCTTAAAACTTGTATAAGTTTTTGCTAGTGTTTATATTGAGCACATTACATAAAACAATAGTAATAACTTGTTTCAATAACTTTCTTAAAAATTAAAAATTTTCAACTCCAGGTTAAGATTTTTTACCGGTATGAACTAATTCTTTTGATCTTTGCATCTGTATTAGGAAATATTGTATATACGGGTGCGACTAGCAGCTGAATGGGAATGAGGGGTAGATTTTAAGTGGGTCGGACCGAGGAACTGGGAAGGCAAGTTTATCATGCAAGTTTTATGCCGACTAAATTTGTATTTTCGTATTGTTTTGCTAATGTCCAAAAGAAATTCCGAATTTTTATGACCCGCTCGTGTGGTCAATTAAAATTTTACTCAACAATCTGCATATTTTGCTATTTGTTATCGTCCCTTTCGGCGGCTATAGTTTGGATCGCATGATTCCGTCCTCAGCACGCCTCCATGCCTAATCCAATTAATCTTAATGGCTATTAAAATGTTATTACTCAATGTCTGTTGTCGTTTTGGGGGTGGAACGATATAAATCCGGAATACCCTTATTTTCCAGCTTAGTGTGCGTATTTTTATATCAAATAATTTTCTATCGAATACTTATTTCAGGGAAAGGGGTTTTCTAGTGGTTGCTTTTATGAATAATGGTCTGATAAGAGTAAAATAAATGCTCAAGTTTGCATATATTTTTTTGATTTAACGATTTCTATGTAGAAGGGTATAATCTTAAATCGATCATATTAGATCATAAAACAAATCTATAAAAGAATATACCTAAAATCTCTGATGAATGCATTACTTCGGACACCCGAACTTGTTGCAACGCATTGTTTGTTTATTTTTATATATTATTATCTATTAGCGGCGACATCGGCAATTTCCAATTTGCGTACCAGGCGGGAGGTTGTGAAGTCATTTCCCTAAACCTTTCCCCTCTCAATTTTCTCGGGCTCAGCACGGCCTTGGTCGCGGAATAATATAATAATAATGACGCAATGGCATTACCGCCTCCGTTCGTATCATTGTGCCAAGATAAATTGCGTAAGGGGGCAAGAAAAATCACACTTGCAAACAAGCAGCATCAACCCGAATGCAATTTTTAAGGTGGATAAATAAATTGAATCTAAGTTGAAAAATTATAATTGGAGCATCAATAAAATGCAGAAGGATGCTGAAAAAGCTTATATCAAGATAAACGTTTCTAAAATACTCGGACTTGGACATTGACTTACTCGGGGAAATTCATGTTTCCTATCTTATATTTACTTAATATTAAATACATTTAGCAGATTATCGTACTCTCAAAATACATTGTAAGTTTTTGAGTGGTTGGACCTTTTTGAAAACATAACTTTCGACGCAACTTAATACATGTAAGATGCTTTTCGGTCGCCATTGGCTTATAAGCATATATTAAAATGAAGTATCAAATACTGATTTAAAACTAATTAGTTTGATCAAGCGATTAACCAGCATCTCCTGACCACATCATCTCAACCCCACTCCTCTTACCTAACCTCCTTATTTACGAATAAACAGTATTTGTATCTGCTGTTGCATCTAGATCGGAATTGACAATTAGCGTCTGGCCGCGATGTCTCCATTTGTTTGTCGCATATTCGCAACTTGTTCTTTTTCATTCTTTGTCATTAAATGGTTACACACTCAGTCACAAGATCTCGGAGAAAGAGGGTGGTCGCTGGAATTTATAAATGTCTCTTTGTCCCGGGTGTTTTTTTTATCTGGGCAAATATATACGCTAAACTTTCGTGTCAATTGATGTCACATTCCTCATCCTTTCTTTGCGGTCTCTGTGTGTGAAATTGTAAAGAAAATTGTGGAATTTGACCCGACACTAAATAAGCTGATAATAAGCCATTTGGACGCAACTTTAGCTTCATTTTTACTGTAGCCGTTTTCAAGTATCCGGAGGAGCTAACAGATTTTTGTTAAGGTAGGTGGCCTTAGCCTTGCTTTAAACCAGATGCTTCCTCCAGGTGTCCTTGGTTGAGAAATTTCGGATCAGACGATTGGATAGTTAATTGCGTTATTACACAAAATTGGTTTAATTAGCGTGGCCAGAGTAATGTAAATCTTGAGTGGATTGGGGAATTACTTATATTATATTATAAAAGGAAAAGTTAAAGGAACATGTAGGTAGTACGATTAAAGTTTGCTTTAGAAGATGTAATTGTAACTAGGATTAATGTCATTTAATTTTGAATGATGATAATATGCTTAAAATACAGTATTTTAAATTCTCGCAAACTAAACCATATTTTAAATGGGCAAACATTGGCCGGACAACCACAATTTCATTCCGACACGATGTGTGGTGAAAAGTGGATGCCGACTAACCAGCAGAATATTGGCGCGAAGTGTTGACACCAGAACAGCCAGCAAATGCCACAACAAAGACCATCGTGATAAACGCATATTTAAACAATTATAAGTTAAATTAACTGTTAATTTCCATAGGCGAGTGAGAATGTGAGGGAGTGAATGTCTGATATGAGGGTCCTGACATCCGATTTGGTTCAGATCGAATCGAATGTTGAAACAAAAATGCATTATTATTGCGATAATTGCCCAAAGGAAAAATGAGATTCGATGGACATCGGGGAGTCACCCCTCGGCATATGCGTGTGGACGGATACCCTAGCTGAACTGAGATCCCCCATAAAGTTGGAGACCCATTCACCATCAACCTCACCATTTTGACCGCTGACCGGATTCGATGTATAAAGAATTTTCGTTGTTTGTGCTCTTAGTGTTTTTGGTTTCCGTGGCAAATTGAAGCGGAATATTAATTTAACGATACAAATTGATGCCGTCGCTTTGTCTGACGATAAGCGCAGCGGGCATTCTACTTATAGAGAAAACGTAACATAACATAGGAGGGAAATTTTCGGGAGTTGTTGAAAATTAGAAAAATACGTGACAGCATTTCAAAAATAAAAACCGACAGAATTTGTCGAAATGTGGAAATTTCGGGCAATTTCTGAGCAGAATTCCAAATGACAGCAGTGGCTACACTCAAATTCATGCGGCGCAGAGGCCCAATATGTCTTTGTCATCCTTTGGTCCTTGACCGCTAAATTTTCCCCCTTATTGAAGTGTCCTTGTCCTCCCGGGTCTTGCGGGCTATTAAATATATGGAAAAAATTGTTGAAAAGGTCGGCTAGAAGATGAAAATTCTTTGATGGCAGGAAAGAATATTAATAATGGATAGAATTTATATTCGTTACAACTAGGAACGAGTAAGTGAAGAGAGAGAGAGAGAGAGATATTTTCATTAAACTTTTTTTTATCTTGGATTTTTCTTAATACATGCAATTAATACATTCATTATTCCACCAGTGTAAGTCTGCTTAAACGTAATGTTTTTTTTTCTTTGAGTTTTCTCCGTTTATCATTTGTTTGGCCAATATCGGTTAATATGTAAAAAACATCTTGACCATTCCCACAAATTGCAATAGTTATCACCCTAACAATTTTACTTCTGCTAGCTGAGTAATGGGTAGCTGATAGTCGAGGAAATCGACTACAGCGTTCTTGTTTTTCTTTTGGAGAGTGTTTAGTCAGGGTGGGTCACGTTCTCGTGCGTGCAATCGGTTATCGTTAGTGGTGTTTCGTGTCTGTTTTTTTTTCTTTGTTCATTATTTCCACAATTCTAGGGTGGGACCCCCTACAACCACCCCAAGGTCCAATCCAAACCCCTCCAGAATCCAAGCTTCGCGGAACTTCTAATGGAGTTGTAATGAGTGTGAAAATTAATGTCGTCACATTACTCATGCACCCAAATGCAGGAATTTCTAATTCCCAGAGAATGGGAAGGG